CCCACAAAAAAAAAACATGACATCACAGGCCCCTGACCAAAATCAAACCCCGGCGCCTGTTTGCTGGGCAGTGCTGCTTGTTTCCTGGATATCTCCTGAACGGGGCGGCGTGCCTCAGTTTTGCCTACGGCGGCTTCCTCTGTCTGTGTGCCACCGCAGTGGAAATAGAGCGTGGAGAAAAACAGAGTGATTCTCAAACTCCGAGAGAGCAGGCGGGCAGGCGGGTGAGAGAGCGAGAGATCGAGAGAGAGAGAGAGAGAGAGAGAGCTCACAGAAGCTTATTTTAATGTTTAACAGGTGTGAGGACATATTTCATTCATGCCCATTCATGACTGCTTTCCCTCCGCTCTTGCGTAATCAGTTGTCTCTTCAGATAGGGAGCAGCAGTCCAGGATTCCCCCCCCCCCAAGCCCCACCCCCACCCCTGTTCGCCTAACGTTCATTCGACTGTCAGCTTTCCCCATTCCCATGTTAAATATGACCTGTTTTGGGTTAGCAGCCGGCTAAGCGGAGATAGCGCGGGCCCCGGGCGACCACCTGACCGCGGCCGCTCGTAAGGGAGTGTCGCTGTGCCGGCTGCTCGGGCTCAACTGCTGCACTCTCCCGACGTCTGACGTCAGCTGTGTTAAGCTCTTTTTAAATTTTTCTAAATCATAAATGATTAACAGTATAAATAGTACATGGCCTGACTCTGCTGTACCATAGAGGATCCTGTTCTGGGCCATCATTCAGGCTCTTTCTTTCTATTTTTTTCATTTGTACTGTACATCTAAGCCCCCGCTCCCCCCCCCCAAAGGCCTTTTTCTGCTGCTGTCATATAAGGAGAATAACGAGACAGCCAGACTCCGGAGATAATTGCGTGGTAAACCTGGTGAACCCTATCTGAAGTATCCGTTTAATCTCCTCGCATGCATCATAAAGTGTCCGTCGATGCCGTCCTCCCCCCGGCGCTGACGCGTGCCAGGACACACACCGAGGGCCCAGCCCCGACCTTGTGGGCCACTCCGGCAGGTGCCGGCGCCCCACCCGTCAACTCCAAGCCCCTCCGTCCACCGTGCTGCTCGGTAAACATCTGAAACAGAGGAATACCAGAAGCCGCAGATCTGGACCCGGCCGGATCTCTCCAAAAGGGAAAAAGACAGGCAGATGTGACATGCTCTGAGGGTGCTTGAATATGCGGCTTTCCACTTTAAACAGCCCCCCCCACCCCACCAACCCGCTCACACACACAAGCTAATTAGCAGCAGCCCCCAGTGGGACCTGTATGTCACCCACTTCATATATAGGGCAACGATTCGGGGGCATTTGCTCACTCTGGCATAGAACGCAGCCTCGATGGTACGGGGGGGGGGGGGNTAGAACGCAGCCTCGATGGTACGGGGGGGGGGGGGGGGTGTTAAGTCTCAGGGCTGTTGAGGTTCCGGGGACCCACAGCACCTCTCTGGGCAGCTCCCATCTGGCCCCCAGCACCCGGACAGAATGTTCCAGATGTTCCAGACAGCGAGATGTGGCTCCCGAGTACCTGGGGTCGTGCCACAATGTCGCGGGGACCAGGAAGCGTCTGCGACTTTCCTGCTTCATGACCAAGACGGGGGAGAAATCCGAGCATCCCAGGGACCTGCCCACCACCCCACACACACACAGACACACACACGCACGCACGCAGTCCCTGTGAGGCCGACACCGGCTGGGGTGCGAGACGTGCATTCTCACAAATAAAACAAGGATCCGGAGACAGATGTAAACTTTCGTCTATCTGTTCTAGGTGGAGTCTGTGTGGCTCCATACCAATGACCCAATTAGCTGTCTCCTATAAGGCTGCTGGCCAGGCGCCAGCCAGGCTATGTGGCCAAGGGTGACCTCTTTGTGAGTCCTATTCCAAAAAAATAAAACGAGTTTAGCGGAACACAAACCAAAACCCGCCACTCTTCTCAAAAAAAGGATGACAGCTACTCAGAATCTCTGCTGGCGTCACACCTTTGACCGTAGACATGTTGAGGACAGTCAGTCACCATCCCGAAACTAACCATGTTGTCTTTTTTCCCCCGAGGGCCGCGTTTTAACCAATAGACACAAAGGAAACTCCAGAGGTGTCCAATAAACAAACGAGGCCCGAAGCGCAGCCTCGTGGTCCGACACTCGATTCGATGGGGGACGGCCTCAGAACCCTTTTCATCCAAATGGTAATGGCCTGATGTAAAGACAAGGACCCATTCAGGGCCAACGGGCCGCACAAGTGGAAAAGGGGCACTTTTAAGTGCGGCCTCGTACCGCTCTGCACACCAGAGGCATGATCCGGCCCAGCTGGGTCACGAGGCGACGCTCCACGCTCAAAAACATGAGTTTAGATTTCTGACAAGAGCGTCCTGCTGGATTCACACACGCACCACCAGCTCCCTTTCCTTAGGTAGATCATCGGGGGGGGGGGGGGGGGG